TGTTTGTTTGGGAGCTCAGTCATGCTTTCTTTGTTGGCTGGCATGGTGCTAGTTTTTACTTTAGTCATTCTTTTTTTTTATTATGCGTTCCGTTTGATGCGTTTGCAATGCGTGTGCACCACATTTGATGTGTTTTGATGCAGTTAAAGTGACATTAAACCCTCAGATTTTTAACATAAAACAATACTGTAATGTGCGCCTTACTGTAATCCATGGTAGTTTCCCTTCTATTTGCTGCTCTTCCTTTTTAAATCTGTATCTGTTCTCATGCTGGGCAGAACTTCTGTTTTGCAGCAGACTGCCTTGTCTCTGGAATGGATACATGGTGTCTGTGTATAGGCTGTAACCTGAGCCAGCACTACAGGAAGAGGCACTCAGCTGCAAAGGGAAGTTCTCTCCAAGCGTGAGAAGACATGAGGATTTAAAAGGAAGAGCAGCAAAGAGAAGTGAAACAACCATGGATTACAGTAAGGCACACATTACAGTATTGGTTTATGTTAAAAAATCTGAAGGTTTAATGTCACTTTAAAGTAGGACAAGCAGTACTTTTTCTGACTGCAGTTGAATCAACTGCAATGGTGTGAATTAGGCACAAGAAAGCCCATAGGAAAGCATTGGGATGTATTTTAACTGCGCAGTTGAAATAAACAGACTGTATCACAACTGCATCACAACTGCATATGGTGTGAACAGGCCCTTACACTGTCACCTCGTCACACTCACCAGCGATGTAGACTACAGGTGTAGGTATCACCATCAGGAGAGTGATCCAGAGCAATGATGTGCATTCGCTGTTGGAGTACATGCATGAAGACAGGAGGCAGCTGAGAAAAGGCCAGAGAAGATTGGCAGGCTGAGATGCAATCTAAAAAATAAATGAAAAAGGTGAAAACAAGATATCTGTGGGTCCCCCTTATCCACCAGATAAAAGGGGCTTCCAGCTCTTCTCCCCCTGGCAAACCCCCACTTCCCTTTTTGGGGGATAGGATATGGGGAGGAGGCCATTGTCCTCTCAACTCGGGGAACAAGAGTTGGAAACAGTTACAATTTATTGACCACTCATTTTAATGAATGCGTTTTATGGGTTTGAAAGAAAAGGTCAAAGCTTAATCTCCCTTAGTACACTGAAGCATATGAAACTGAAATATTGTTAACCTTGGAAATCCCCACAAAATAAATAGTTATGTCATGGGATTTGCAATTCAGAACATTACACAGTAAACCCAGGCATCATACAGAAATCTGAGGTTTTGGATGAACCTTTAGTTAAAGTAGAACTATGAGGTGAGTGATTTATACTCATCCTCATAGTTAGATCCGACGTGTGACATTGAAACTGTCACAAGTCGGCTCTAGTGATCGGGAACTGAGCGAACACATACCGTTGCTCGCTCACTTCCGTATCATCTCTCTGCAGAGAGCGGTGACTGTCAGTCACTGCTCCCCACAGGGATTCCCCTCCCCGATCCTCCATAACTGAGTGAAGGAAAAGACGGGGAGGGGGCGGGCAAAGCTGCCTCTGCCTCTAGATAGGCAGAGCCCGCTGTCAATCAGCCAGCTGGGTAGATCTCAACAGAATTGTTGGGATCCGTCCCAGCTCCAGCGCTCTCAGTATATAGTGAGCTGTAGCTCGCTATATACTGAGCTTTGAGACCCGAGAGGAGGTTAGTATATGTCCTTCCGTGACCCTAAAGAGAGCTATGGTATACAAAGATTATTTAACATAAGGTGATGATTTTAGTTACTTACTATCATACAATGTATATACAGTTTCCAGATTATAACCCCTCTTGGGAGGGGTTATGCAGATAATAATTTGCCTCGATTTTTTTCCTCCTGTCCTGGGCCCCCTCCAAGTGGCGGAACTCCAGGGCCCGGTCGCGGCCGCGACCTCTGCGACCCTGGTAGTTCCGCCACTGCCCTCCAAGATTAAAAGAACTGAAACCCAATAAACTAAAGTGGCCGGCCATGGACAGTCAGCCTGGGAAGGAATGTGTTAGAAGATGCTTGACATCATCAAGCTGAAAAATGAGCCAAGCTCTATCAGACTTGCTGTAGCTTCTAATGCACAGTGTGCAGTGAAATCAGAATAAGCAATTTCAGTACAGGGGAAGAGCCTGGACAACTGTGCAAGGCTAATGGTAAGGCTGGAGTTCAGCTTTAAAAGAAAAACCCCAGGAGTCATGCAGATCACTTAGTACTTAGTTTGCAAATGCATTTACTAAATCTTTTTGTATAGGACTACCTACGTTCAAGCAGAGATCACAATCAAGAAAACGCAATGAAATACTGTACACTTAAAATGGTGTTCATATCTCAACATCCGCAGAAGCTCATAATGACCTCTACTGCACTGATGCCCACTTCTGCACTGACCATGCCCCCCACACCCCACTCTACAGATGTACAGTTCTGTACTTGCTATTGCACTGACGTGTACTTCTGCACTTCTTTCCCCTGCACTGATACACCCTTCTGCACTCAATGCTTTTGCCCGCACTGCACCCACACACACGTATGCACTTGCCGCCTCTGCACCCACACACACTTATGCACTTGCGGCTCTGCACCCACACACATGTATGCACTTGCCCCCTCTGCACACTTACGCACTTGCAGCCACTGTACCCACACATACTTGTGCACTTGCCATCACTGCACCCACACACACTTATGCACTTGTTGCCACTGCATCCATAGACAATTTTTCACTCCCCAGCATGGCACTGACCTGCACCTCTGTACTGAGTGATATTCACTGCCACTAAATCAATGCACACCTTTGCACTCATAACCACTGTACCAATGTGCACTTCTGCACTCATCAGCTCTCAAGACTCGTATTTGTCATTTTTTATTTTGCCCATAATTACACTTAAAAAGGAACCCTATCAGTATACGGTAGATACTCAGCAAATGCATAACTGTAAAAAAAGACAATAAACACACACTTTCCCATTGCCTGTCACCAAGTGACACCATCAGAGGGGGTGACACCAAAATGACTGACAGTCATTTTGGTGTCACCCTCTCTGAAAAGGTGGGAACTCGGTCATGGACTGAGAGCCTGACAGTTGCACGAGAGAGGAGGGGACCAAGTGGCTTACCTTATCCCGCCGGATGAACACCCCCTCCTTTCTTTGCTGGCATTCATCAAAAAGATGGCTGCTGGCAGTGAAGTGTGCGTGATGTCATTACGAGCGTACATAATGACATCACATGTATACACAATGATATGGGCATTGGGTGACCAGTCCTGGTGATGCCACTGGGGAGTGATCCTGGAAAGCACTTTGCTCTTAGCAATTTTTAGTTAACAGCTGTCAGATCCTGGTGACTCTGGCTGGATTTGGAGGTGATTCTCTTGTCCCTGATCAGTTGAAGCACAGTGCAAGAAGACTTTATATGCCTAATAGACCCGAATGTCTCCTTAAAGAGTATGGGCCTGTTCACATGAGTTTCAGGTCCTACTCAGGTCCGGATCTGCAGACGCGGTGCTACTGATGCAGTGCATTTGGCCGCGTTTTTGATGCGTTCCAGTAAAAAAAAAAATATTATTTTTTGCTGGAGTGGGGCTTTTAGTATGTTAGCTGCTCTAAAATAAAACGTTTTTTTTTTTCTAATACTCACCTGATCCTGGGATCCACCGACAAGCGCGGCCTCCCGTCTCCCACGCTGTCAGAATATGCATACAGCGTGTGCTGGTTACTACTTAAACCGGCGCGCGCTGTGTGCCGCTTCTGAGAAGATACGCTATTAGCATAGCGGTAACCAGGACAGCCGCGTCATCTGTGCACAGGTCCATTCACAGACTACAAGTCTCATCTACCACTGTGTATCTCAAGTGTGATGACATCATAGCAATTGGAATCCATTGATAACTCCCTGCATCCCCATAACTGAAGGTCTGTACTCAATACAGATGGATCCTGAAGCAACTGTCTGCAGGAGCCTGAGCATTGCACCTGTGATCCACTATTCGTGGTTGCAAAGCTCTGCAGGCTCAAAAGCATAAACTTAATTATCATTTATTATTTAATAATGAATTTAAATATGAAGACCAGTTGAACATTAATATAACCGCTGGGAAGCTGTAGATACTGATGTATACACTATGCACTCCGCTTCATTGACATGAGGGAACGTTCTATAGAGAAGCAAGGCTCGCGAGTCCCCTTCCCAGCTGATCTTGGAGCGCACTGGCTTCCACCCGGTGGCGCGCATTTGTTACCCGGCAACCAACTCTGTTTGGATCCCTAACAGCCAATGACGTCACGAGAGCTAGCGGCCGCGCCCCTCCCTCATTCTCCACTGACTGACGCCGGGTCCGCCACTGCCGTCACAACCCGAGGAAAGCTTGCCAGCCAGCTGCTGCCCTGACGTCACGCCCCCAAGCCGCGCCCTCTAAGGATCCTCCTGCGTGAGCTTCGCAGCTGGACACCGTGGCCGCGCTTCACTTTTAATCATACACAATCGATATACCATATAGCAATAACATAATAAGCGTCTCATAACATATTTTTTTTTTCTGGATGGCTGTTGTTCCTCGGTTACCATGGTAACGAAGCCGTGGCGGTCAGCTGCGCCTCCTCTGGGGGCTCCTAGGAACTATGATTATGAAAAGGGGGTTGGGTTCCAGGTGTGTTATGCTCGGGGAGGGACGCGGCTTGCGCTGTCACGTGAGGGGGATCCCCGCCCCCCTGCTTTTAAGCCTTGTCAAGCCGTCCGCTCCCAGTCATAGATAACTCGAGGTTGGGTTGAGGCGCGGAGCCGTGAGCGGGAAGCGGCTCTGATGGCAGCTGCAGCAGACAGAGGGAATCCCCGCGCCCCGCTCTGTGTCCCCGGAGCTGGAGAGAACTGCCCGAGGCAGGGAGTGTCTGGTGCAGCACACTGTGCGTGACCTGCTGCCCTGTCATAATAAACTGATATTGCTGTGGAAGCTGACGCCTCTCTAGACGACTTTCCCCAAAACTTGTGGATTAGCTCTTGTGGTTTTCTGTGTCGAATGTGGACTTTTGTGTCATCAGCGACTCCAGGGGCACTGCTAGATTAATGAGGTACGTGTGGTGCGAGCTCGATCATGGTAGGTAGGGCTAGCTCGATCAGTGCATTGGATCGTACAAGTAGGCTACCTGCTGCACACACTACATCCTACAACCGATGTGACGTTCATGTCCCATCCCTACTTCTCCATGGGCTGCTAAAGTGACAAATCCTTTTTTGTGCTGAAGGTTTACAACCCCTGTTGGCTTTTTAAAGCTTTCTGGGACCTCAGTACGTCGATCCCCCTCACTGTCCTGGTGACATGTTTCCCTCAGACAGGAAGTGATGGAACTGTCAATGATTATTCGTATTTATTTGGGAAAGGCTACAACCTCTGTCACATTAGTATTGCTGTCTGTCACTGATCCATCTTCTGTTTCCTATCTAGTAAAAATCCTTATCAGGATTGATAGCCAGAAATAAGGATCATTTCAATAGTATATAGTTGTACAATATTCTCCCTACTTGTGACACACTTGCAGATTTGTCATTTTATTTTCCTATGATGATGCAGATCCTCATAAAAGCATGAGCATTGATGATATGTAATAAGGGGGGAGGGAGAGGCTAGAACCCCTGTCAGTTTATCGTAGTTGTCATTGTCACCATTGCACATTTTCTTTTGATCCCTGTCTGGTAAAACCACAATCATCAGGATTGAAGTTTCTTTAATGAAGCCTTAGTAAAAATGTGACAGGGGTTCTGATGCTTAACTCTACCCTCTCAAAAGTGTTGTCTGTACTTTAAGCGCCCATATAGGTCCAGCTTTCTGTTTAACTCAATGCAGAACTTGCTCTGGAGAGCCTAGAGTTGTATGTGTGTGCAATGGCTACTCATGACTTTGCTCTATCAATGTATGCAGTGTGATCTGACCGACCCTATGTCTCTCTGCCTAGGCAGCCGCCCAGTGAGTGTGACATGGCTCTCAGCGGGACCTTGCTGCCTTCCATCGCCACCTTCACAGCGGGGACCCCAGGCAAGGACAAGGTTTTGAGACAGGCAAGTGTTGGCAACGTGAGTATCCCAGAGAGGATATCCCTATCATTGGTTACAAAGCGTACTTGTTTGCTTGTAAACACACCGACCCGCTCATCTCCAGATTATCCACATTATAATAAACATGACACTTGTGTTTGTAAAGCTTCTTCTCTGCGTGAGCTGATTAAGTATTATTGTTTATTAGCTAACTTGTGAGCACTTTTTTTTTTCTGACACTCTGGGGGGGAATTTATCAAAACGAGCAGTCAAAATCTGGAGCAGATTTGTACAGCAGCCAATCAGCTTCCATCTCTCATTTTCAAATCTTACCTGAGCAAACTGGAGAGAGAAGCTGATTGAATTGCTCCAGATTGTCTGCTCCAGTTTTGAGGAATTCTCCCCTCTGTTCCTTGTGTTCAAGCCGATGACAATAATGATCCTGCCACTAGATCTGATAGAAGCGTGTGTCATGGCATTTCTTACAAGGTTCCCTTATTTTTTATTTTTTTTTATATCGCTCTTAAAAATCTGTAAACCGGAGACTTTTATTCTAATGCGTTTGCTGTTGGCTTGCATCTCCTTTTTTATTTGCACAAATTCACTGCTCCAACACAATGTGTGCTTTTCATTTCAAGTTTGGAAGGTAGTTTAAGTTCTGTTCTTTTTGCAGTCATTTCCTCCATGGCTTTTATACAAAGTGAACTTGTAAATAATTTTTTCTAGCTCTAGTATAATTTCTTTCTTATGGCATTAAGAGTTTTTTTTTTTTTGTCCTGGCTTGTGTACTGGACAGTAATTGTTGCTTGCTTACAGAGGTCTGCTTGTTTTTAGTCCTTGCGGCTTTCTCTTACTCATCTCCTGCTGATAGTGTTCAGCTGTCACATAGAAGGCTCTCTGTTAAGTATTATCTTAGAAACCGGTTTACATAATAATATTACTAAAGGGAAGTGTCAGATGCAAATTTTTAACTGCTAATAATTTGACATGTCAATATTTTTGGGGGGGAAAGCAGTAACTATTTCCAGCCTGCAGTTGTCTTAATTAAAATGCTTGTGGTACATGTGTGAGTGCTTTGTGTTTTTTTTTTTTTTTCTTCGTTATGTTTTTGTGGAGGACGTGTTTGGGAAAAATTAAAGTCTAGGGAAAAAATGATCGCAAGGGTTCATCGAGTAATCACAATAAAACTTTAGACTGGTCTGAGCTGCGACCAATTTGGGAATACAGCAACAAGGAAGAATGGGGCTATTGGCCAAAGTAACTGCTCAATGGGAAAATGTAACATGTGCAACTGCATCATCCCTTATCTAGTTTTTCCTAAATCTGCCCCATAGTATATTATACCATTTTGGTGAATCAGTTTGTTGCAGTCTCGTTTTTAAGAAACTTTTGTTTTTTATTCTTGTTCTCGCAGAGGTGGAGAGAAGAGCTGTCCCTCATGAAAAGACATACTGCACATAACCAGGCACGCCCCTATGATGGCTTAGAGCTGGAGACTGCAGCATTGGGATCTCGTAGGGAACCAGAAGAATTCAATGAGCTGCTGGACTTTGATTTTATACTCTCTAACTCCCTTCTTCATCAGGAGTCTATGGTGGGTAATTCTTCCTCATCTTCTTCTGCAACCGCTTCCTCACCACCACCAGCTGCATCTCTCCAAGACACCATGTCTGCCCTCTCGTCAGCTGCCAATTGTAACTTTACCTACCAGCTACGCTGCCCCCAGGACACAGTTGGAGGCGGTTCACTCATGTACACTTCTAGGGACACAGCTGTGCCAATGCTCACTTTTAACCTGGCGGATTTAAATGATGTTTCTCCTTCTGGTGGATTTGTGGCTGAGCTCATGAGGCCAGATTTGGATCCCGTTTATATGCAACAGCCACAAACTAGTCTTCAAGGTAAATTTGTGTTAAAAACTGCTGTGGACATGGGTGATTACGGTCAGTCTCTCAGTGTTAGAAAAAGCGGATCTGGTATGGACGGTCCTATGGTTTACACTAGCCATCAGCTGCCCCTCATGTGTCAAAAGATCAAGCAGGAGCCATCTGCGTCTTGTTCTGTGTCATGCCAAATGGATGGACAAGTACAACAGTCACAAGGGCAGCATGACTTCCAAGTAGGGAGGGTACTGCCAAGCAGGACTAACCAACCATTGACCCCAGAGGAGCTAATGGTTAGAGATTGCCATGCTTCTCCACAGACATTAAGCCATCCATCACTGCCAATACCTCCAGGCTACCACACTTCTGCCAGCTTCCCTCACTTCACACCAGACCAACAGCAGCCACAGCTGCCTCCAACTCCGCTTCAGTATCAAGGTCAGTCTTATCTAAATATTTATGAAGATCCTTCTCTAAACTTTCAACTATTGAAACAAGAAGTGATGCTGACTCCACCCTCTTCACCTTTAGAGCTCCTAACATCAGGCTGCATGTCAGAAGAAGCTAAGCCAAAGAGAGGTCGTAAATCCTGGCCCAGGAAAAGGACAGCTACTCACACCTGTGAGTATGCAGGCTGTGGAAAGACCTATACCAAGAGCTCACATTTAAAAGCCCACCTTCGAACACACACAGGTATGTGATTCACCAATACTGACTCCCATTTTCTTGCTTCAAGAATACTGTTGCTGGTTGTAGTGAGTAACACTGGTGTTACAAAACATCAGTGTGCTTTGCATAAACATCTGTGCCCACACAGCTCTGTTTCCTCCAGGAGACTATTTATAATGTCGGGTTTTGTGGTTTACTCTTGGCAAGAATTTGAGGCATATTACAGAGGGAAACAGAAAACATGGCCATGAAATAAAGGAATAGAATTTCTCCAGATAAGACCAGCAGCTTTCTTGTTATCTAGGCTGCAAAGCTCACTGGTTACTACTGGCAAATTACACCTGTTTTAATATATAAAAAAAAAGAATTTATGGTTCTGCAACAAGTGCAAGTTTTTTTATTTTTTATTATTGTGTCATATTTTAAGTTCCAAATGAGCTTAAAGTGGATATGACATTGGAAGGAATTTTGAATTTCTTTTTCCCCAATGCTTTCCATTATTGGAAAAAAAAAATTCTCAGCCACAAAGGGAAATGTAATTGCTTTTTTTTCTTTTTTTTCCCCCTTAAATTCAGCTGTATGTGTGTGTAAGGTGTACATTTTTATTTTATATGCATATTAAAGTGACACTAAACTCGGGAGTTGATCATTAAAAATGCATTCAAGTACCTTTTAATTATTAACAAAATGTATCTTATTTTGTAGATCCTCAAATCATCTCTGAATTGGTGCTGACACTGCCCTTCCTTCTGGAGGGTGGCTACTTTTGTTCCCCATGGTACCTGTGTGTGTTGTAAAGTGGCCACCGCTCCAAGCTCATTCCCATGATCTACAAATGAGTAAACTAAAGATGAGATTGTAGTCCATCACAGGAGTGAGCTTGGAGTGGTGACTGATTTACAGCACACATGGGGAACAAAAGTAGCCCCCCTCCAGAAGGAAGGACAGTGTCAGCACCAATTCTGAGATGATTTGAGGATCTACAGCCGAGTGATACAAAAAGATGCATTTTTGTTGATGGGGTACTTGTGTCTTTAAGATTTAACTCCTGAGTTTAGTGTCACTTTTAAGTCTAATAAAACACAACACTATTTTTAAAAAGAAAAAAAATGGAGTATAAAACTGAAAAGAAAGTGATGTTGCCCCTACTCTGGTCATATTCTTTGGTCATTCTGGTGACAACCCCA